GGGAGGCCTTGGGTAGCACATCCTCAGAGAGCAACATGAGCGTTATTTTATGAGCTGCAAACAAAGCCATCTCAACTTGAGTAATTTTACAGAAAATCTGCTGACGTTTGTTGCTGTAAATGAAATATGGCCGTCTGTGTTTTGTTACAAAAATAATTCTAGTCATAAACTGGTCATACCTCATGGGGCCAGGGAACCTCACTCAGGATTTCACTGGGTGAAAAGGGAGATGGAGAAGAGTCACAATGTGCCAGTACCTTGCTGTGTGCTGTCTGTACTGCCGGTCAGCAGCTGACCCCATGCTGGGTTTGCCACACTGCCTTTTCATCCACTGGTGCTATGTGCAGCATGGGAAATGGGGAGGGAACCCTGTGATTGTTGCAATTGGCAGGAGAAGTAATGACAAATGTAAGCCTCCTGTTATTTTTCCCACTCTGTACTGTCTTCCCCACCCATTTGTTTCCCTCACCCATCCACAGCGTGGTTTGGTTTTGACTTTCTGCATGGTGGCAACTCCATGGAGAGTCTCTGTAGCATGCCTACTGCAGCATGGCACTGGCCAGCAGACACCACTGCAGTCCAGGTTTCCATAAATAATATGTCCTGGCAGGGAGTTGCCAAAAGCAGTATGTGTGTGCAGCCATGATTTGTTGCTCTCCATCTGCCACGGTCAGCATGGAACAATGCCCCTGCACAGGAGGACCAGGGATTACTGCCCAGAGAGCAATTCCCACACTGCCTGGCTCCTCTGCTTTGACTCCTGCCCCTCCTGTTGCCATCCATGGAAAGAGGCAGTGGCACTGCAAGCCCACCTTGACCTGGCTGCTCTGGAGCTCCCAACATACTCTATTTGGCTCTACCAACAGCAAAGGAAGCCAGCCCTGGGAGCTGCTGTGGGGAATACTGGTCTGCTGGCAGACCACAAGCTTTAGGTGTCCCTGTGTGGCCTACGGGCTGTTCATCATGGATAAAATTCCGATTTTCACACAATTAATTGAAAAATGCTGTTCAAGTTCCATAAAAAAGGGTAATATTTGCCTTACTTAGGCTCACAGCCAATCTCACCCCTTTCATCATCTACAAAAAAACATTCTCATTGTTTACAGGAGGCCAGCTCTACTTTCAGGCAACATAAGGAAAAAGTGCCTGCAAGTGTTTAGTAAAGTGAAAAATGTATTTTCTTGATATTTCAGTAATCTTAATAGAAAAAGGTGCACATTTGGTTCTCAAGGATCTACTTTGGATTTAGGCCTGGTAAATTATAGAATGGTCAAGAGGTGGTCCAAGTCTGAAACATATGCTTGAAACATCTGAGAAATAAATGTATTTACCACATACTTATTTTTCCTGCATATGTGCTCCCTCCCAATATGATCTCAGCCCCATCCTGCCTCAGCACATCCTGAGGTATTTACCAATTTCATCAGGCATTCCTGTCAGCAGCAGGTGTGACTGTAAACCTGGATATAGCACCTCTGTATCTGAGCTTGTTACCTAAACCCTTTTTTAGCCAGTGAAGACTAACAAGCATTTCTAGGGTGAGATTCATTGCGCTTATTTTAGACCTTCTGTACAAGAGGAGATGATTTCCAGCTTCTGTGTTTAAATCAGAATATTTTTTCTCTCTCATTCCACCTTCTTTTCCTATATATAACCCCAGTGAATTGTTAAGAGGCTAACTGTGTATCCTCCATGGCCTAAAGAAGGTCATTGTACAGGTGAGACCAACAGTTCCTGCTGGGCTACTGCAGGGCCATGAAGTGGCAAAGCTCACTCAAGCAGATTGGTAGCACAGTCAGGCCAAGGCATTGGGCCAGGACATGCTGCTGGCACCCCTCCAGCTGCACTGCTGTTTCACACAAGGTATTTGAGTCACCAGCACTGAGGGCTTTTGGTCCCCAGGTCACTGGTCCCTCCCACGTGCCTTTCCCTGCAGAGGTGAAGAGCTGTCAAAAACTGTGCATGGACTCATCAGCACTCAAGATGAGTGCTTCACTGTCCTTCCTCGAGACGGAACTGAATTATCCTGCTAGAAATGATGGGAGAAGGTGAATGCCAGTCCCACAGATGGGGTGGGAATGAGAAGAAAGCAGGAAGGTTCTGAAATGCTTGGAGCAGCTCTGCACTGCCTCTGACCTTTTTCCTGTTACCAGTTTCAACTCCACCTTGTCCTGTACGTCACAAGCTGGGGCACGGAGTTGAGGAAGAAAGTGTCTTGAACTGCAGGAAGGGACTTTGACATCCAGAGGGACGTTGAGAGAGAGAGGACCCTCATGTGAACCTCATGAGGCCCACAAGGTCAATTAGCATGGTCCTGTCCCTGTGTTTGTCCAAGTCCCACTATCAATACAGATGAGGGTTGTACTGATTGAGAGCAGTCCTGCTGAGAAGGACCTGGGGGTGCTCGTAGATGAGAGGCTGGACATGAGCCAGTAATGTGCCCTTGCAACCCAGAAAGCTAAAAAAGCATGACCAGCTGGTCAGGTGACATGATTCTCCCCTCTACTCTGCTGTTGTGAGACCCCCCTGGAGTGCAGTGTCTAGCTCTGGGGTTTCCAGTACAGGAAAGACATGGACCTGTTGGAGCAGGTCCAGGGGAGGCCATGAAGATGGTCAGAGAGATGGGGCACATCTCCAATGAAGACAGGTTGTGAGAGCTGGGGTTCATCCTGGAGAAGAGCAGGTTCTGGGGAGATCATACTGTGCTCTTTCTGTACAAAAAGGGGATTTATAAAAAAGATGGAGAAAGACTACTGTAGTAACCTGTAGTAACAGGTCAAGGGGGAAACAGTTTTCAACTGAAAGAGGGTAAATTTAGATTAGATCTAAGGAAGAAGTTTCTTATTGTGAGTGTGGCGAGATGCAGCAACTGATTGCTCCCAGAAGCTGTGGATGCCCCATCCCTGGAAGCGTTCAAGGCCGGACTGGATGAGGCTTTGAACAACCTAGTCTAGTGAAAGGTGTCCCTGCCCACTGCAGTGGGGTTGGAATGAGATGATCTTCAAGGTCCCTCCCAACCCAAACCCTTCTATGATTCTGTGATAAATCTAAACTGCAAAGGAAAATATGCTTTTTTTAAATAGAGGTATATTCCAAAATGGAAATGAGAAAAAGAATAAGAATGGCCTGTCCCTTGGTAAATGTTATCTATGTCTAGCTTTTTCCTGCAGGAAATGTTTTCTTTCAAGTCTGTTGACATGGTGAGAATTCCATATGTAAGAATGCCAAGTGGAGGAGAAAGGGACTAAGAAAGGACTTGTTAGTATTGACTGAATAACATGAACCATGTTAGAAACATTTTGTTAATTTGACTGGTGTTCAGCCCTTGGTGAACTGCTTTATTGATAACTTCTAGGGGTAATATGTCAGAACAGATCTGGAAGTTTGCCCTGGGGATACTGGCCAACAGTGGTGTGTATAATTTGAGAAGGTCACCCCCTGAACATTGTGTTCCCAGCCTATCTCTGGTTTCCCACTTTGGTTGCTGGTAATGTGCATCAAAATCAGACACATATTTTGTCATGAGAGACCTTTTAAAAAATGTTTTAAGTAACTAGTTCTCTGCAATGCACCATTCTATAAGAAAATTTCCATTGATTTGAAATTATGTGAATCTGGAATTGGATTAATAAGTTATTTGAACACTTCTGAGGCTGTTTAGAGGAACATACTTTGTACAAATTTCTTTTGCAGAAATACAAAGTGACTGAAAGACATAAAAATATTTGAAATTCTTAGGAAGGCCAAGAAGCACTTAGTTAATCTATGCTGTTTGTCCCATCGTGTCCTGTTGTGATTCTTGCTCTCTGCAAGAAGGATCAAAGTCATAGATACTATGGGAATGGCAATTTCACCTAGGCTGTGACACCCCTCAGTGCTAAGCACAAGTTTTATGCACTCTGGTGCTTACACTGAGAGCTTACATAGTATTTAAGGATTTAGTGGGTCTTGTAGCTCTGGACTCAGGGGTGAAATTCATCCAGTGTACTTAGCAGTTTTTTCCATAGCTCCTTAGCAGCACTTCTCTTCTGAGGATACAAAGTGATTTGCAAACCTTAATTAATTCTCATAAAGCCCTATGAGGCAGATGAATGTTAAATATCCCAGTGTTAGTACATATGAGAAACATAAGACCTGAGTGCCTTATCATTCATGCTGTTCACTGTATTTGCTCCCAAAAATGACTAAGTGCTGTGGAACACAGGAAATCTCCTTTCCCCCCACTAATTCTGTTGTTTTCCTTGGACTTTCTGGAATTTTTTGAGGGCAGCAGGGATAAGTCTGGGCTTCAAGCTGCAGTGTGTGAAATTCAAGCTACACAAATTACAGAAGCGAAGGAGCCTTGGTGTATTTGTTGCTGGTTTGGGGGGCGAAAGCCAAGCCCTTTACGCAACGAGTGAGTTACTTGCTCCATGTTCCAGCACCCCATTGGAAAGGTAGCTTGGGCTGCCAAAGTAGGAAACACCCCTGGAAGTCAGGCATACTTGTGGGCTACCAAGAGCAACAGAGCTAGACAGCAGATGGAGGCAGAGGAATTGCTTGAAGAAACAGCCCCAGCGGGATCTCACTCATCTCATTGAGGAAAACCATAGTCTTTTGAAAGACCAGCGGATGCTCTAAATCTTAATGCTCTTCCTCTCTGTAGTTGCATTCAGGTTAGCACAAACAGGACCTAAAGTGACTTTGCCAGTTTGCTAATTAACCTTAAGTGCAATTTACAGCGTGGGGCCCAGTGACGCTGAAAATGAAGGCTCTGCGTTTTTGAGGGCAAACAGCGGTTTTGTGAGACATAGTAAAGTAACTGAATTTTCATGCTAACAATATTGGCTGAGAGACATAGTTTCACATTTTTTGAGACATACTAGATATAAGATCATCCAAATGCTTTTCTGAATGTATTCTGACAAATTTATCTATGGTTACATGCCTTATCAGTCCTAGATGCACAGGGCTGGTGCACATAACCTAATGTAACAGTTATAATTATGATACTGATCAGACCAACTAGGCATTTTTAAGATATCAAAATTAGACTAATTCTTTAGTTTTAAATACAGTGAGGTCAAATATATGATAACAAAAAGATTACAAAATGAGAGGCATGTTAGGTGTGTGTCAGACAGACTCTTGTTACTACCTTAACAAGTCTGTATACTTCAGGCATTGTTTGTATTTCTGTTGTGCCAGGAGATTTTATTCTTTAGTTTGAGGATTCTCCCTGAATGGGGGAGGGAGACGTTGCCATCGCTGCGAACAAGAAACATTTCTTTCTGACATATTAAGCATTAAGAGGATTATGTAAAGACAAGGCATACTGCAGAAGGAGATGCTCTTAATATAGCTTTTACCATGAACCCATGACCTGCCAAAAATTTAGGAGAGTTAAAAAAACCTATTGCTTTGACCATCTTTTCATTTTTAAAAAATCATCTTGTAAAAAGATCAAGGAATTCATCCACTTTTATTTACATAAAATTCAAACTTTCCTGCTTAAAATTATGAATCATTTAATGTCACATCTGCAGGATATCTAGGCAGATGCCATTAATCCAAGTAATTTTGCAAATTCCAACTTCAATTGGATTAAAACCTACAACTAAGTCAGTGAATAGCATATACTGTACATGCGTTAAGGCTGGTGACTACTAAAGTCTCATGGGTAAATAAACTAAGTACAGATTAGCCAGGTCTAAGTGTATGTCCTCATCTGGGGAAGAAAAGATATCCTGACATTTCAGATTTGAATCAGTAGCCGTGAAAAATGGTTGAACATTTGTATTATAAGAGATACTATGGCACAGTCCCAAAGGTGCATTTAATATAAATTAATTAGCTACACAAATTATTTTGACAACAGCTACTGCACTTCTGAGGTGATATGGCTGCTCGGTGATGAGTACTTGATGATCAATGGTAGGCACTAGTAATATCCTTCATGCTGAGTGACTTTAATTACTATTTAGATTTACAGTATATACATATGTGTTTGTATCTACACTTGGGGCTTGATCCTCTTAACCTCCTTTACCTAAGGTCTTCTGTTCACTATAATCTCTTCCTTTGGAGCTCTGTGTTACTTGGGCAAAAGAAATAGGCAAACACGGGGTTTGGGTATCCTGCCATATGACAGGAAGGACTATGCCTGGCTTTTGACCACACTTGAACCTCTGCATATACTTTGTTCTTACCTGACACTCATGCCACCATCCCATACTACAAAGGATTAAGGCCAAGGGCTCTGAATGATCTTACTGTTTGTGAGGATCCTATAGGCCATTCTGGACTTGTCAAGTCCACCTGCAATACACAGCTCCTTTGAATCCACTCCCATTGCTGTATCAACTCTTATGATTCAGAAGCCCCTGTTTGTAAGCAAACATCTTCCTCCAGGCATAATCCTTCTGGGTTTGTACAGAATGACTCTTTACTTTCCAAAACTTGAATCTGAATGTTGCTATGGCTAAAGAAGCTTGCATGTTCCTGGACTTTTACAGCAGATTAGAATAAATCAGTGTCTTTCATGGAACTGCAAAGAAGGACAGTCTCCTCTGGTCCCACCCAAAAGACACCGAGCATCTTTGACTCATAGTGCGATATGCCTGAGACTATTCAGGTTCTTAAAGTGGTGTATGTGCTTAACTGGACCAGACCTAAAGTCACATGCACTTTTGCAGACAAGGCCCTAAGAAGATGAAATTAAGTATTTGTTATCGCCATGCCACATTCAGTCATCCAGTCAGCAGCAACCCTATAAAGCAAATAGCCTGCACAAAAGAGTATTCTAAATAACCTCACTAAAATAGTATAGCTGCAAGAAACCCTATGGAGAGAAGGCCAAACCCTCTAATTCACTCATCCTGTTGCACCACCAGAAATTAAGGCTCAGTGTGCTCATCAAACAACACAGATGATGCCAGCACAAAAACTAAAAACCAGATTTCCATGGAAGCAGTAGGTATTTTAGCTGAAATTACTCAGTATAAGAGCAATGTACAGGAAAGGACAATCATCTACAGAGATGCTTAGTACTTGGAAATATTACAACAGAACACCATTAATTCTTGCATTTCTTTGAAGTTTCTTGACATATATCCATACGAAGAGTTTATCATGATTAAGAAAAATATCCCGATCTTAGTAAAATAAACATGCTTCAAAGTTCCGTATTTGAAACTCAAATGCCACATGTGCAATAAAACTAAACTCCATTTAAGGCAAGTAATATATGTTACTGCTAAAATTTCTCAACATTAAATATCAGAAAGGGCTCCCAACCCCCTAAACTTATCTGAAGATAAACGTCATAGGCACCGTCAAAGAAAACAGAAGCTAATCTAGCTGGAGTTTCACTTTCCTGATCTGAAGAGAAATCCCGCAGTACCTGTGGATGGCATTGAAGCAGCTGACAGAATCTGTTGCTACTAGTCTAGCAAATCCTGACAGATTTCCACAGCTGGAGACCAGAGAAGTGATAAACAGAAAGGCACCGATCAAGTTCTCCAGGATACTTGTGACGAAACAAATTGTGTTCCTTCTGGGGTGGGTGACAGTCAGGGCTAAGGGTGATGGCAGGACTCAGAGGTCACCTATTTTGTCACTTAAAGGCAAGTACATGTTCTCTCCTAAAGTCAGCCACATTGTAACACTCAATCCATGCTAAGAGGTGACCAAAGCCACTGGGATTCTCTTGGGGGAAACTATCTGAGCACCGATGGGCACAGAAATACTGGCCCAGGATGGCTTGGGGCTGAGCAGTTCCTTGGTGGCTGCTTCAGAGAACACAGTGAATGCTCTGAGACTGAGCAATAGCTGGAGTTACGGTGAGCAGCCTTGGCAGAAAAACACAGCTGTGTGGGGCTCAGTGTGCTCATAAGCCCACTCTTTACCTCAGGGTACATGGAGTCTGTGCTACGAAAGACATTTGACTGAGAAATTGTGCCATATTGTTTGGTATCTTTTCTTCACAATGCATCTCTTCAAAAATGTGGGACGGAAAAAAAAAGGCAGCAAGAACAAATGAATCAACGGTTTGTATCAGTGGCTACTTCTAATGTATCTTCCAAGGAAAGTGTCTTTTATACTCACATTTTCTTAACATATAAGCAAATTAGATTAGAAAATAACAGCAAAAGGGTTCAACTAATGACCTGGACAAGAACAGTCCACTGAAAGTCACCAGAGCTGCTGATCTGAGTAAAGGCAGCAAATCTGATTGCAAAAAAATTAAATATTTCCAATACAGGGGAAAAAACCCCCTCTAAATATGTGAAAACCACTGAATATGAACAAAAATGCACTGAGTGCATGCACAGTTGATACAAACTGGCCTTGACCTTATCTGACCCAAATTAAACTCCAATTATTGTGGGATTAATTCTTCTGGCATGAAAAACACAGCCTGTCAACAGGAACTGAAAACATCCCATAAATCAAGAAACGTTAAAGCCTAGTTGAGGATTATGCATGAAGAGTGAGAGGATTATGATAGGAAACAGTTCTTAGCCTGATGAGCAGCAAACTCGGCTTCCCAGATAAAGGAAATTGCATGTAATGCTCCCATACAGCCTGGAAGAAAATGTTGCAAGCTTCTGGTAGATGAAAAAGATTGAAGGTCAAAATCTGTGGAATGAAGCATTCCCATGCAAAGCCAACAACTGTTATAAATATCTGTCTGTGTGTGTGTGCAGCCAAAATTAACACATTTTCCTTCCTAAGTGGATTACTGTTTGCTGCATTTTTTCCTTATCTATTTACTGTCAGTAACAGAATGAAATTTTTCACCATCTCTTTTAAGTTCCTGCTATCAGCATATCTGTTTTCAGGCCTTCCTTTTGCTTGGTACTGTAGGTTGCACTGTTGGTGAGGAGCTGAACAAGACGTGAAGTTATTTAAAAAGACAGGAGATAAAGAAATGCATGCATTTTGTTGAAACTTATTGCACATGAAGGAATGCTGTCTTTCTCCGACTTAATGCGGACTACACAACTCCTCTCTGTGCTCCAGTGGAGAAGTAACAGGGAGATGGCACATTAATATGGGAACTTCTGTGATGTGTCCATGCTCGCAGTAAAAATTCTCCATGTCTACGATTTGCCTTCATTCATTCCAGTTCAGGAAAGCCCTTGTGTATGTGCTTAAGCTCTGCTGAAGTCATCAGGATTTCAGTACAAGCTTAAAGTTAAGAATCTATTGTGAGCTTTCCTGAATAGGGATCTGTGCTTATTGCACTTGGTTCAATCAACCCATAAGATTTTGGTTTCTGAGTTTTTCAGTACAAGAATAGAAAGGGTATGTTTGTGCATTAAGATCAGTTCTTTATAGTATTTCTAGCATATGAAAATGTTTGGAGAGTGATACAGAACAATTCATTCTGAAGAGACATCATTGTATATTGTACCTCTGCACACATATATGTCTACAGTCAGAAGAATTTTGCTCAATATTGAAGAAATATTCACCTTTGTTTGGATCAATGCTGTAGCTGACTATTTCTGTAGCACAGTGTCCAGAATAACTGAATTATCCATGAAAGAGATACTGTCCATGTGAATGGCACACAGTCATTATGACAAGTGAGCGCTGTTCCGCACCCAGTGAAGTCCTTGTTGAGTGTACTGAACTAAATGCTCCATACTGCTGTGCAAGGTGATAGGTCCCATCAATGCATCCAAGTCATTAAAAAAATCTGCAGGGAAAGAAAAAAAAAAAAGATTCAGCATCAGAAGAGTGAATATTTATTTGCTACTTGTTACCTTTTCACAGATTTTATTCTCTTGCAAATTGAGTCAGGCTGAAGATTCCATGGGAATGAAAGTTTAGTGCTGGTGAGATTAATTTTAAAGCCCTGTGGCTCATGATGTTACAGGCTGATGCACAACAATTTTCTTTTCAAAGAACAAAGCAGTGAGTTCTTCAGCTTTACTTTTCATTGAGTCTTGTTAAAGCAAACAGACTCTGGGCAAGATTTATTCTGAGATTGAGGACAAGTAGATCAAAAAGTCTACACACAAATGTCCAATGACACGTTTGTGATATGCTAGATATTTAAGATACCATGACAGAGAAACAGAGGCCTTTACAACATGGCCAACCCAGCCTAAAGAGTAATTTGGCTAACTAGCCAGTAAGGACTTAGAGTCACAGAATGGTTTGGGTTGGAAGGGACCTTAAAGATCAGCCAGTTCCATTCCCTGTGCCATAGATAGGGACAATTCAGCTGTCCACTCGGAGACATGTAGTATCCATTAGAGATGCTCTCAGGGAGTTGGTACAGCCCAGACTGGCAGATCTAACACAGGATGTACAGGAGAGTTCTGGAGTGGCAGTTTAGGTAAGGATACCTCAGTGAATTGTATTCTTGTGTCCCTTTCAGAGTGGACTAAACAGCACCCTGAACTGCTATTTGTATTGAGCAAAGCTCCATCAACTGCAATGGGAAATGAGCCCCACAACTCGTATCTACATAACTTCACTTAGATGCCCTTGTTTTGACTTGGATATTGCCCATGTCCCTGCCTTAAATACACAAATTGGCCTGAAAACCAGGGATTACTTCACCATCAATTCAGATGCTGAGGCATTTGCTCATGGGAACCAGTTCACCTGAGAGAAGTTTGCTGCAGGCACCTTGTTCCAATTTGTGTCTGCTACGGATAGGGGAGGGCTAGGGGCTCTTCATTTCTTCTGCTGAAAGGAGGTGTGATCCTGCTTTATGACGTGGTCTGGCTAAACACATCCCATGCAGCTGCATGACTTTGGGGGCAGGAAGCTGCTCTACCTTCCACAAACCTTTCTAGAATGCAGAGATGGCAGTAAGTGCTACTCACAGCCAAGTCTGTGACCTGTCTGTCGCAAGTTCTGGCTCAACTCTTCTAAGCAAGACAGCTATCAAAATTACCTTTTTGGGCTGTTTTAGAACAGACTTGGAGGAGACTGAAGAAAGAAACAATCTCTGCAGTCCTACTTTGCAGACAGGTTTCATATCAAAATAGTTATTTTCCTGATCCAAATAATGTGACAGTCTTCTAGAACAGTCCACTGCCTTGCCTTGCTCACCTCTGTTTTCCTTGGCCAGGTTGTCAGCCATCTCCCAGTAGTCATAGCTGTGCAGGATGCTGTTGGTGATGCTAACATGGTTGGCAGCCATCTGATGAATGCGCTGCGGGATGCTGATGATAGGAGATGGGGAAGGGGCCCCCGTGCTCCCCTGGGATCCTACGGAACTGACTGGAGAAGGGCTTGGGGACATAGGTGATGGAGTTCCTGTGCTCCTAGAAACCAATGTCAGTACAGTTATTTAAAAGGTATTGGGATTAAAAACACAAGAGAATCAGAACACACCACAGATAAAAATATACTATTTCTAACTAACAATCTGATAAAAGTTTCTGTGCAACTTACTTTCCACTGGCACCCCAAGGAGAAGGATTCTGGGCAGCTTTTGATGAATTCTGGAAAGGAAAGAGTAAATCACAATGCATATAATTTGTACAGGACTAAAAAATGAAAACATTAAAGAGTATTAAAGTACAGAAATGTAAAGAAAGTGATGCAATTGCATCTCTTGATGCAATAAACCCAGTCAGCCTAATTCTATGTTACGATGAAGCAGTGCTGCAGAACAGACTTGAAACATAGTCTTTTAAACACCCTGGCATAGGGGCTGTTTAGAAAAAACATTAGGTGAAATGGAAACTTTTCACAGAAATCCTGGGAATTCAGAAGAAAAAAAGTGCTGCAGGACTCTTTGTGAAGTTTAGGCTGAAATTTCTCGTGATGAAGAAAATCTGAAAGATTTCCTCCCACTCTCCTGCCCCCAATGACAAATGTCATTCCCCTAGGACCTGCAAGACTGCAAATCTGGTCAGCCTGGCATCCACAGGGATGTGAATCTGAGGATCTTCAGCTCAGGTGGGTGTCTTAACCATCAGGCTCAAAAATCTTGCTCATGACTGCTCCTCATGGGGCTGTTCCCTTTGGTCCAAAGGCGGCAGCATTCACAAGGTCAGAGAGACTGCCCATGGAGATTGGTGGTTTTCATAGGATTCCCCAGAGACCCAGAAGGGGCCATTTGATCATTTAGTGTGGTCTCTTGTATACCTGGAGTCATTAAGACTCTCTCTAGTATATTGTGCTTAGGCTAAAGAATTTCATTGCTTGAGGAGAGACTACCTTGTACAAGCATTGTATTTACAGAGCAGGAGACATTAAGGTGTCAGCAGTAATGGAGACTGGATAGCTAAAATGATTTTAGTAGTTAAAACTCCAGGAGCTGGAGGGAATTCACTGGTTCCTGACCATTTGACCTTTGAAAAACTCCACTCCTCTCCCAAGTGACTGATTTAGTCCTAGGCCTGTGAGAAGGAAGTCTAAGAAGCCAGCTTTTCTAGTCCATCCTATCCACAGTCTTTCATTCAGCAACGGCCTCTGATTCTTCAGAGGAAGAATCCTCCTTGTGCTCTCCCCTGAAGCCAAACCTGCAGGTAATTGTGTGCTGGAGAACAGACCTCTCTTCTTGAAATCCATGTGAGACCAAAGTCCTGCAGCTTGAGATCTGTTTATGGATACTGTTTCAAATGCAAGGCTGCAGGTGTTGTAAACTGCAGGAGTTACAAGCAGTACCAGCAGTACAAAACCTCTTGGTCTCTCATGGCTTGGGAAGGAAAATGGTAAACAAGGGGCTTCAGATGTTCATGGATTTCAAGGCCAGGAGTAATCCTGCAGTGCACACAATCTGCAGTGTCTGTTTTTCACCAATCAGGACACTTCTAAAAGAAGCTAAATTACTTAAAAAATTTATCTTATTTTATTCCTTCTAAAAAGGACAGATAGTCATATAGAAATTCTTAGCCACTATTTATCCTCCTTGTTCTTCTGTGTCCTGTTCTATGTTTAGTAGGCCTCATAATTAGAAAAACAAATGCTGTTTCACAGTTTCAAGATTGAACCTTCCTAATTTCAGTGCTGGCTTTTGGATTTTGTTGTTCCAAAGCCAGCAAAACCGCATGTAATCTGCAAATTATCAGCTCTGTTTCCATGTACAATGATCTCATAACCTATTCAGCACTAAACTGGACACATCTCCTGAGCCTCTATTCAAAAAAGTTTGTTTTCTCTGTTTTAATGTGTCTTCTGAACTGCCTCTTGGGTTTTCACATCTTTTATGCGCACCCCAACACTGGCTGTATTTTAGCAATGATCATACCAGTGCTGTGTCTACCCTGTCATTCTTCCTGCATTTTGACACTGGGTCTTCTATGTCCCATGTACATGGTATGACAAATAAGCTTTGGAATGTCCCAAAAGGGGGTTTTCCTTCAGAGGGTTTTCTTTTTTTTTCTTTTTTTTTTTTTCTTTTGATAGGAAAAGCTAAGGTGTGAAAAGATAAAAAAGGAAAATTTCTCATTTACCATCTTAAATAAAATCAACCTGGGCATCCTCAGCATTTGATCCTGCTACAGAATAGATTATTTTTTTTTTCCCCTTTCTTTTCTGATCTCTCTCAGAACTACTTGTCTCCATCTTTCTAGTGTAATAGAAACAGAGTACCTGTTTACTTACAGAGCTGGAAGCAGGAAAATTTGAAAGTTGGAGTCAAGGATACTTTCAATGTAAATGTAACCAACTTCTGCCTTACTGTACAACTTCCCACACACCTTTTTTCTCGCATTTTAGGTACATTGCTTTGGCTTCCTCTCAGTTCTGCACCAGAAAGGTGGGGGTAAGGATTCTAAAGACTATAATGTTGTAAGGGACCATCTCTTATCCCACTTTCCCTACTGCAACTCATTCTTCTGGTTTCTTCATGTTCTCCTATGTGCCTGGCCCCTGAATATCTGTGCCTTCTTTTTAATACTCTGCTGCATTTTTTTTTAAATAATGGAAATAAAACACTTAAAGGAGATTTAAGTAGTATTTTTTTATTTTCTAAAAGTAAATTGTGTCTGTGTTTCCCTGCAAATGTGTGAGAAGATTTAAAATCTTTCTTTGACTGATAATATGTGAGAAAGTTCTTAATGCAGTCAGCATTTCATGTCACTTGGTTTTGAAAGCTTTTAGATACTAAATATGAAAGGAGTGGAGAATTGGCTTGTTTTCCACTGAAAATTATAGCAAATGGATTTTTTTTTTTCATTTTTGCTTTTAAAGGTGAGAATACTTTCTAATGTGAAGCTATGCTATCATTGTGTCAGCGGGAGCTCTGCAAAAAACCAAACTCTTCTTGGCTACAGTAGAGTGTAAGTCCATTTTATGTTTGCTGTGAAACAGTCTGTCTGCTAGCAGGAGACATTTTACATGGTTGAGAGCTGTTCTTAATACAGCTATTCTCTGAACTGGTCAAGAAAAATAAAGTACTTCAATAGGCACATATTTCTTTCCCCCAAAATCAAGTAATTGTTAGAGAAACATAATGTGTTGAATTATATATTGTTAAAATTTTGAAGCAATTACATTGACTTCAATTTCCATTTGACAATAACGGATCTGTCAATTCCCTTCCCTGTCTTCATGTGTTCAGAATTTGGTCATAAGCATTTGTGCTTGTATTGAATTTTTTTATTAACAAAATGTCAAAGGATGGATGTTTTTCATTTCAAGGTTCTTCTGTCTGCAAAAACCTCCAACAGATGAGCCCTGTGTTTGAAGACAAATGGCTGTTCAGCAGAGCAGTTTGTCTTAAAACACTTGTATGTTAATTTTTATTTATTTATTTTGTTTAATTAGGAAGATAAAGGCTAATCTTTGTATTTGTACCTCACATGCTGGACGGATTGACTGCAAGGTGAGCTTCACCTGAAAGATTTTGTGCTTGAGATACTTTCCAGAGAAATGTTGCCTAAGAAAATGTATTAAAATACTTAGAGAGACTTCCAGTCTTTTTCAAAATAAATAGTGTTTGGACTTGTCAGAAGTGAAAAACGGAAGCAGTAACAGGTCAAGCAAAGCAGGAAGGGGAAGCCAACAGTGCCATGTCAAGTATGTGGCAGGTGGTCTGTCTGCCCTCTGATGCTTCTGTACAACTCCTGCTGAACTCAGTGTGGGCCTTTTGACAGCTCCCTGTGTAAGATGTCCCACTGCACTGTCCCACCTACTGATGCTGCTGAGTGGAAGGCCTGCATCTGAGGACTGATCTAGATCAAAGTCGTCAACTTGTGGGAAGTGTAATCCTGAAGAGGGATTCTTAGGGCAAAATCTACAAAACCTATTCACAACAGAGCTGGATAGCGCTAGACAGTTGACCAAGAATAATGTGAAAATACCTGTTTGTTACTATGACGAATTTATCATCCTTTTTGAAGGGCCACAGTGTGTATTTTTCAAAGAGGGACCCTTGTGAAGATAACTGAACTAACTAGAGCTCAGATATTGCCATGGGAGTCAATGGTAAAACGCCACTGACTTCACAGTGTGAAAACTAATCCCAGCACAGCTACTGCTCTAGTAAGATGCTGTATCTCCTGTTAAGACACACTAGTCAAAAAACATGCCCATAAATAATGCACCTTGAAATACTCAATAAGCGCTTTAGAATACTTGACCGCGTGGTCTCTCTTGAGTCGGAACATCCTCCAGTACAGAAGGGCCAGGCAGCGGTAACTGGAATAGAAAGGAGAGAAGACAGTAAAGGGTGACTCCTGAACAGAAATCCCACAGAATATCTTAAATCCTCAAACTAACACAGAGTGAAAGGCTGACAGCACCTTGCTTACAAGTTTTTATCACCATTTGTTTGCAGTAGTTCACACTTTGCCATGGATTCATGAGCAGAGCTAGGTACTACAGCCAGGGCAAGTCATGCTCAGAAATGCTACCAGTGAGGTACTAAACAAACTATACTCAGAAGGGTCTGGGCTCCCAGGACTTCATTCTGGCTTGAAGTCTGCACACTTGACCAAAATGAAAAGAAACATCCCTGGAACTCAAAATATGCTTTTTTTTGGTATTTTTTCTTGCAAATGCATAAACAGATTTTTGAGATATCTTATCTTGGGACTTTATTGCAATAGCCTGGAGCTTGTATAGTGAACTCGAGTTATAGTGGATGTATTTTGTATACACCCAGTGGTCTCATCCAGTAGCTGGAGATGGCTGGGATAAAGGGAAACCTTGGAGCTGGCACAGATTTCAGTGGCCAAGCTTCTCTGTAGGAAACCAGAACAGAGGCTGTGTTGGAGCCTGGAGGCTATTCCCAGGCCATTTGCCTAATTTGGTCCCCAGAGGAAACCAGTTGTAGGCTGAAAAACTCAAAGTGCTGTGCTGGTACTGTCTGCCCCTGTGCTCCTTGTTGGTCTGCAAAGTGCTACACGCCTTTAAAGCTACATAATTAAATGAGAGTAATGGCTATTGACTATAGTTATGTACCAAAGTAGTCAGTATTCAGGACACATACACTTTTCTTTGCTAGCAGCTTTAGTGTACCAGTCTATTATCTGAATTGAGAATCACCATCACCTTTTCCCAGCAAGGTTTTTGGATTGAAAAAGTGTGAAAACCGGGGCAAGTGTGAAAGTGTCCCACAGTAACGCTGCTTTCGAAGCAAAAACCCTGTGTGTTTTGCTTTTCCTTCGGCAGCAGAGGTCTTGTTTTTAAAAGCAGTATTTAGTCTTGGAGCCAATTCGGAGCACCAGCAGGTGCTTTGAATTTGGAAATGCAGAGTGCCCCCCATCTTCCCGCTCCTAAGAGCGGCCCACACCTCAGCGAACGCCTCGAATTATCAAATGGTCCCTGAACAAACGCAATCGCAGGCAGGGCTGCTGAGCCAGGCTGGCTGCTGTCCGGAGCGCGGCGGTGAAATCCCGGCCGTGGCCGCTGGAGGACAGTGTCTCCCCGGGAGAAGCGGGCCGGGAGCGGGCGGGCTGGCAGCCTGCCCGGCGGGCGCCGGCAGCAGCCGCG